TATTTCATTTAGTACTAAGGAAGTTTTTGACATCATACAATTACTGCAATCACGCATCTTGCTAATTACACAGCCAATCATAACAACCCATACAGTTGCCCAAAATACCACATCTGCGAAAAGATAGCTTTTAAGCTGTTCTACGTTAAAAAAATATTTTTATGTAGTCAAATTTAGGATGAAGAAACACTTTTATAAAATTCAAAAATGTTTGAAGGAAAAAAAACACGCGGGATGCATGCTTTAAAGGGGAATTTAGGGAGCTAAACTTTGATATTTCAACATGTAGCTTAATTCCAGCCTATTAAAAACTCTTCTGTCTTTTCTTGCTATTTTGTTTGTAATTTCATGAGTATCATTAAAAGAAATACAGGACTTTGTATATAAATATTAAGCTAGCCCAAAAAACTAAACGCATAAGTAGATAATTACATTGTTAGAAAGCTAATTAATAAATAGTTGAATTTCAAATATTTCTCTTATACAAATTATAACATTTGTTTTCTTGGTTGCTTCAACTGCATCGTGCAATGACGAAAAAAGTTAAAACTACTAGTCTTATGTTCTAGACACTGATAATGTTCTTTGTGCTTGTCTGAAGTAGGAAACCCTATCAAACTACGTAATGTTCTAGTAAAAAAAAAATGGTGCAATTACATGCAATTGCATGTTGTATTTGGCAAAACCTTTCGGAATTTTGGGTCCTCAATGATCATCAACTTCGTACTTTATTTGGCCTTTTTAACATTCTTTGATTCGAGCGTCACTGATGAATCTTTTGTAGACGAAACGCGCGTCTGGCGTACACCATTTTAAGCCTAGTATCTATGATGGGTTTATTTATGTTTTGATTTGAGAATTCTTGCAATTTGCAATAATTATAGTAATAATTAGACTTCCTAAATAGATAAATTATTACATATAAAATAAAAAGCTTTAAAGAAGGAAATTACTGTGTAGTTGTCACAGCAACAATTCAACCAATCATCACCAAGAACGTTTTGTAAAAGTAGGCAACCTCTGACAAAACATATTAAGCACTTTTCATTTTTCTGCGTTAAGCCCTCTGTTGTTGACCTGGCAAGGCTATTTTGGCGATTTTCACACTTTATTTTCATACTAAAGAAGAACGAGGTTAATTCTATTTGAGTTATTTTTCTAAATACAAATGTTGCATGTAAAAATTTGTTGCCAAAACTAGTTGGTTTGAAGAAATGTCTTATCAAAAACTAAATTATAAAGAAACTCTAAAATTTTATCCAAACAATAACATGAATAAGTAGCATTGGTTTTTTTTTTACATTCCAATGCTTTGCATGCTTTAATCTGTTCGTTTGGTTTTCTAATTGTGCAAAGTTCTCATAGCTGCAATAAGAAAAAAACATATAATATGGTATGTTTATAAATGTGAGAAAAACAAGCGTTGAAAATGAGATAACTTATAAGCAGGACTGTAATGGTGAATTTGAATTGCTTGCTATTCAACTCTATTTGAATGTGTTTATCATAAATAAAATCCCTTCATGTACAATCTCCATATGTGCACTTCAAACCTTTCCCCCGAATGTAACCTACCGAATTAGACATATCACCAGATTTGTACTTAAATGAGCAACACGACGGGTGCCACATGTGGAGCAGAATCTGCTTATCTTTCCGGAGCACCTGAGATCACCCCCAGTTTTTGGTGGGGTTCGTGTTGCTTAGTCTTTGGTTTTCTATGTTGTTTGTCTGCTTGTCTGTTTCTTTTTTAGCCATGGCGTTGTCTGTTTGTGTTCGACTGATGAGTTTTAATGTCCCTTTTGTATCCTTTGCCTCTCTTTTTGAACTTCACTAAAATTTACTAAGCGATGTATATGTGTGAGGAATATTGCTCATTACAAAGTTTGTTATACTAACGGATGGACATATGAATGGAAATAACAAAACAAATGAGCGTAGGCACAATATGATTCCTACATTTCCGAAAACACACATATGACACCATGACCAACGCGATTAAAGTAGAACAGACAAACAACAGTCCTCAAAACACTACACCGAAATGTACGAATACTACCTTAAACCGGTGGTGATTGAAATTGCTTAGGAAGGGTATTCAATCTTCCACGATACCAATTTCTAAAAAGTACTAAGACCTAATAGATAAATATTCAGTGTCAACTTCACAAATTATACAAGATGGTCTTGAGTTATAGATTCTAGGTGCTCAAGTTGTGTATCTTTTTTTATGCCCTCGCCGTAGCGAAATTGGTTTCCGTTCTCTAACTTTATTTTGCCTCAACCCAATGTTATGTAACTTATATACAATGCTTATTACCACAAAACACAGATCAAGTTTGAATTTGAGGGCGTAACTTTTACCTTTCTAGAGTTATGCCCCTTTACAAATGGAAAAATTGCTGAATTTTTTGTTTCCGTTCTCTAACTTAAGTTTGTCTCAGCCAAATGTTATGAATCTTATACACAATGCTTATTATCACAAAACACAGATCAAGTTTGAATTTTGGTGGCGTCACTTTTACCGTTATAGAGTTATGCCCCTTTACAAATGGAAAAATTGCTGAATTTTTCGTTTCCGTTCTTTAACTTAAGTTTGCCTCAACCAAATGTTATGAAACTTATACAAAATGCTTATTACCACAAAACTCTGATCAAGTTCTAATTTGGGTAGAGTCACTTTTACTGTTCTTGAGTTATGTCCCTTTGTAACGTTATATGCAAGCATGGACATCATCTGTGTCCCATGGACACATTCCCCATTTATTTTACTTTAGTTTCCCCGTTATTTGTCTTCGTGCTATTATGTTTCTTTCTGTCGTATGGATTTTGATGTAACTCGGTATTTATGCATCCCGCCATCAGGTTTTAGACTTTTTAACTTTGGGCATTCCTGGGACAGGTGGGTCCTGATGTGAATTCGGACACAAAGGGGCTTTTACAGTTTTGTTTCTATTTTGTTTACCTTTGTATTTATACTTACTTAATTTTTACTTTTTCGAGAAAGTGTATACTATATACGGTATGTACTATCAAAGACAAAAACTTTTATTTTGTGACCTCATTGTCAAATTAACTATTTACTGCACCTTTTTTGCCCCCACCGTATCGGAGGGGGCATTAAGTTTTACCCTTGTCCGTCTGTACGTCCGTCCGTCCGTCCGTCCGTCCGTCCGTCCGTCATATGTACCGATATTGGTTTCCGTTCTCTAACTTTAGTTTGCGTCAACCAATTGTTATGAATCTTATACAAAATGCTTATTACCACAAAACACAGATGAATTTGAATTTTGGTGGCGTCACTTTTACCGTTCTAGAGATATGCCCCTTTACAAATGGAAAAATTGCTAAATTTTTCATTCCGTTCTCTAACATAAGTTTGCCTCAACCAAATGTGATGAAACTTATTCACAATGCTTATTACCACAAAACTCAGATCAAGTACGAATTTGGGTAGCGTCACTTTTACTGTTCTTGAGTTATGTCCCTTTATAACATCATATGCAAGCGTGGGCATCGTCTGTGTCCCATGGACACATTCCCCATTTATTGTTAGATTAATTTTATGTTTGTTTGATTTTTTTAGTCAGTTGTGTTTTATGTCTATGTTGTATGTTTACACAGTTTTGGCAGCTCACAGGATCCAAATTATTATTTCTTATGCAGCAAAATACTGCAATCTGATTGGTTAATTACCCCGGTGTAAATAACACTCCACCCTTGTTCACCCCGGGATAAATAAAATTTTGCCAAAAAATAAAAAAAATTGCCAAACTAAAGAAAAAAAGTAAAATGTAAAAAAAAAAAAAAAAATTTATATAAAATAAATAAATTTGAGGACAAAAAATTTTTAATTTTTTTTTAAAAAAATTTAAAAAAAGGATGTTTTTCCCAAAAATTCAAAAGAACAAATTTTTTTTTCTGGATTTCCCAAAAATAAAGAAAAAAGGTATTTGACAATACGCAGCAACATCGACGTTATAAAAATGTAACACTGGAATTTTTTCATTAGCATTTTTCAATTTTACATCCCGGTTTAACAATGAGTAAAGGAATTGTTCATAAGAAATAAATTCGTTATCTTGGTGTAATCAGGGGTGTACGGAATTTTACACCGTTGTTGAAAATTCATACACCCATTCGGCTGTGCCTCAGGGTGTATGAATTTTCAACAACGGTGTAAAATTCTGTACACCCCTGATTACACCAAGATAACTAATATTGTCACATTTACCTTCTATGTCTGTTTGGCCTGCTCATCCAGTTTTGTCAATATAACGGAACTGTGAACAACTGGCATACAAGTTGGAGGTTTGAGCTATCTATAAAACCAAGTTTAACCAGTTGTTTTTTGTTCCATTGATTGATAGCGTTTTATTTTGTCAGTTTTTATGGACTACCCTTTTTTGAACTTGCCTTGGAGTTCGATATTTTTGTTATACTTTTTAATTCTAACAATATCGTTATTTTCATGCCAGTTCCAAAGTATATTGATAAAAGAACTGAAATTAGCTTGAATGTTTTTATTATGGTGAAAAATGTGTCTATATGAATATCACAAATATCAAAACTTGCATTAAGATATTCTACTATAACAGGTACATGAACAGCATTTATAAATCTCGCATTATCATCAGTTTAGCAGATTCCCAATAATAAATTCAAAATATGAATAGATGGTAGGTATTTATATAGCTAGTTAGGTAATTCCTGCCATTGATCAAATGTTAGTTATAAGATAAAAGAAATATTTTCCTATAGTTAATGTAAAAATATCTTGTATTATGATGTATTGGTCAGAACTTATAATGTATGTTAATCGTACAAAAGATTTGAGAGATACAGAGACTTACCTTGTTTCAAATATTGAAATTCCTTTTGAAATAATGTTTAGCTTGATTTTCTAAGAATGCTATTTCCATGAATCAGAGGAGGCTATCGATGCAAGTTTGTACATAATACTAACATGCTTCTCTCACTATCAATGTTTTATTTTCTAGGTGGTGTTTATAGGAGAGGAGGCAATAGATGAAGGTGGACTCACTAAGGTTTGTATTCCACTAAGCATTGTGATGAAGGTTTTTTAAGAAAGGTATCGGTAGGTTCTGTTCAAATACATTCGTTTTCAGCTAACCTGGCCCAAAGGGCCAAGTGAGCTATTCTCATCAATTAGCATCTGTTGTCATTTAACTTTGTGACCAAGTTTTGTCCCAATTGACAAGGAAAAGATTTTTTGTAAAAGTTGACGGACAACGGACTTCAAGTAATGAAAATAGGTCACTTGAGCTATAAATACATACAATATGTCTGTCAGTTCAAACGACTTTGGGTAGAAAACTTTTGGTAAGGAAATTATTTTACATTAGGTCTGCAGCTTGATAATGTTGAGTTGTAGTGTGTAAGAAATTTTTACTTCAGCCCTGCAGCAACTTTCTGTTTGAAATTTTACAACACTCATTGTTGAAGGAAATTTTACCTCAAGTTTTTCTTGGCTTCTTCGATAGGAAATTATTTTATATTGGGTCTGCAGCTTGACAATGTTGTGTGTTGTAACGAGTAAATAATTTTTTCAGCAGTTGTCCAACCACTTTCAGTTTGCCTATAGTTTAAAATTTTACTCATTATACAAGGAATCCTTGCTTCTATGGAATGGAATAATCATTTATGCTTCAGTATACATGTGACCTCAATCCATTGCATTCAGCAACACAGGGTCAGAACCTGTATTGGTCTTGTTTAACAAGATGATTCAGACGCAGTGATAATCTTTAGGTCAGTCACATAAAATTCTTGACAAGTGAATGAATGATAACCCAAATTTCCATACAAATTGTAATAATTGTTAATTTGTTCTTGTCCTATTTGAAATATTTTCTTTTTGTGCACTTTTAGACCTGGTGTAAAGTCCCTGTTATAATCTCCTCTGGATTTGTTTTATACATAATTCTCCAGATTTAAAAATGTATCCCTAATAAACAGCAATCTGATGAAGTTTGTATGTTTGAATACTATGATGGACTTAGCTTAGTCGTTGGATAAAGACAACCAAAATAACATCATCAAGATCTAATAAGTCTATTATCTAAGGGAACCAGTTTGTAAGTGTGTGTGCTATTGCAAGTGGCCCAGTAACCTTGGCAACTAACATATACCAAACTACAATTACTAACTGTATTTTGAGAATAGGATTTGTTCATGTCGACTTTTTTACATATAATAGCTTCGAAGATATAGTCTTAACCTGTGTGAAAAACCATATCATAATTCATTTATCAAATAACTTTTAAAAGCTAAGTCAGGATGCCTAGACAACTCTTTTTCCAAAACATCTATATTGACAGGTGCAGAAATCGACATGTCAAAATTTGAGGTGCGTCTAATTTCTCATCTGTGTGTGGGGCCCGTTCTTTTGAGGCCCCTGTAACTCGTTTTTTGCCTGATGACAGTTGATTTTTAAAATGATCGCCTTTGCAAATCAAACACACATGAACATTTCTGCAACGCGGAACTAAACATCCCCTATAGCCATTGAAATTGTTGTAAAAGTATCTCCCATAATCGAAAGTAGGAATGCACGTGTTTCCGGTGATAGTTGTTGGTGTTTTTTCACGAACTCCTACTGTCTACTGAGTAATTGAAGTATTGACTTGGCAAGTCACATTTTGTTGCAAGGACTGCACAGTCGAACATAGCCTTGAAACAATGTTTTTTATGTTTTGTAGTTTGTAGTTGATGATGCATCTTGGGATGCCGAATTTCCTAATATGGCATCGTTCACTTCATCGTTGATGATGGAGTCGGTTGAATTCTGGGATCGCGAGCTACCCAATATAATGTCTGAGTGGCCCTGGCCGTTTGTCTGCGCATCGGAAATAATATTTACTCCAGAATCTCTTAAAAGCCTCGCCATCGCCATCCTCCTCGAATTTTGAGGAATTATAGTCCCTCTTGTATTAAGTTCTTGTCTCAATCTTATTAATACCCAATTTTCTGGCATTTCAGGATCGTAATGCACGGTTGTCCTTTTCTCCTATCTACGAATAGGTCTCATATTTAAGAAGTAAGGAAGTTTTTAGGATTAAAGCAAAATACAAATAAATTCCGATTTAAATCGTGTGGATGATAAATGCAATGGTTCAAACTCTGGTGAAAACGGTGCAATTTAAAGCACAAACTTAAAAAGTACAATTAAAGTTCCTTGTTTAAAAACGTAATTCTAAGTACTGGAAACGAAGACACATATATATTACCTTAGCCGTATTTGGAATTTTGGGTCCTCAATGCTCTTCCAACTTAATACTTGTTTGGCTTTCTAACTATTTGATCTGAGCGTCACTGATGAGTCTTATGTAGACGAAACGTGCGTCTGGCGTATCCAATTATAAGCCTGGTACCTTTGGTAACTATATAGGAATGTCATTTTTAAATACACATACGACTCCTGAATATATAACTCCAAATCTCAAATCAAATTAAATTCAATTTAAATCTCAGAGAAACAAAATATGGCTGCTGAAACAGCAACAAGCTTTAAAAAATGACCATCTGTCCCTTTAATATCTATAATATGATTGGTCAAATATTTATTTTATCTTTGTAGCCAAAAAAATACTTATCAAAATAAATATATACGTATCTTCCTAAAACATAAACACATGATGGGTCTGGGTAAAATATGACGAGGACATGTGCAAAATGTATAAACTCCAATTTAATAAGTCAAATTCCCATTAAAACAACATTTGTTGTAACGAATCACTTGTTCATAAAGGTGGACACGTGTGTGTGTTTTCTTTAAAATATGGACATGATTGGACGTTTATGAAAAGCACACGTTTTGGAATTCTACTCAAGCTACACATGTCTGGGAATACAGTGACGTCATATGGACAGGTTTTGGAGAATGAACACGTTTGATTGGAAGGACATGTTTCTGAGTGTTATATATAAAAGATAAATTTAGAAACAAAAACATTATATTGTTGTGTGCATTTAGTTGAAGTTCATTGAACATGGGTAGAGAATGTAACATATCAAGGAGAATGACAAACAAATGATTCATTATGTGTATACCCACTATAGCTGTCTGTCAAAATTTGAATTACCAAGAATGTTTGACTAACCTAATATTACGATTACGTCTGACCGAGTCTGTGTTGAAAAACAATGATGAAACCAGATCAGTTGTAAACAGGCCCAACATGGCAAACTTTGTTTACGCAAAAAGTAAAAACTGCTATGGTTCGTCTTATAAAAACATAACAAAAGATCAACTTATCAAAGTTCAATGAGTTGAAACATGTCATTTCATAACTCCCATTCATCTCAATATTTAAAAAATTCACAAAAGTGACAAGTTTTTGTCTCGCCTTGACGGAGTCAAAAAGCAAGACATAGGTATGCTGTTTCCGACGGCGGCGGCGTCAACAATGTATTAGTTTGTGATTAGGTCTAGTTCATGGTGAACCACTAGTTGTAGGTCAATGATATTAGGTATGCAGTTGTATTAGCATTGGCACATCTCATTACCATGGAGATTATTTGGCCCCGCCCCCTCAGTCAAGGTCTATTGACTTTTAAACTTTTCATAGTTTACATGTATTAGTTTGTGATTAGGTCAATTTATGGGGAACCACTAGTGATAGGTCAATGATATTTGGTATGCAGTTGTAGAAGCATTTGCATATCTCATTTCCATGGAGATTATTTGCCTCCGCCCCCTTAGTCATGGTCTATAGACTTTGAAAATTTTGTTAAGTTTGCATGTATTAGTTTGTGATTAGGTAAGTTCAAGGGGAACCATTAGTGTTAGGCCAATGTTAATTGGTGTTCAGTTGTATAAGCATTAGCATATCTCTTTTCCATGGAGAATATTTGGCCCCGCCGCCTCAGTCATGGTCTATTTACTTTGAAACTTTTGCTTAGTTTACATGTATTAGTTTGTGATTAGATCAGTTTAAGATGAACTGCTAATGTTAAGTCAATGCTATTTGGTATGCAAATTTATTGGCATTTGCAAGTACCGTTTCCATGGAGATTATATAGCCCCACCCCTGATCATGGTTCATTGACTTTGAATCTTTTACATAGTTTACAAGTTAATGTTTGTGTTTAGGTTTGTTTAAAGGGAACGACTTATAATAAGTCAATGGTATTTGGTATGCAGTTGTATTAGCATTGGCACATCTCATTCCATGGAGATTGTTTAGCCATGTACCTTCAGTCATGGTTCATCGACTTTGAATATTTGCATAACTTACATGTTAAAGTATTGCTTTTTTTAATTTCAACATTTGCATTATCAAAATTATAAAAAGGCGAGACATTATCTCTGTGATAACAGTTTATATTTATAAAAAGTGATAGGTAGGAATGCCTTTTACTGTCAAAGAATTTTCAGAAACGAAAGAATTTTCTGTTAGCGAGAAACAGTGTTTGTTTTCAACATTTATCATTAAGATACTTAACTTAAAAAATAAATAATGCTATAAGCTCTTGTTACTGGACAGATAATTTAGACTTAACATTGCATAGATTTAAGACATCAATGCCAGGAAAACAATTATCCCCATTATGCTTGCCAGCATTTATAGATGACCCTAGATTATGTATTTTAAAAGCTCATACGAGAGAAAGTCTGGAATATGTAAATCTCAAAAACGCTTTGTTACATTTGTAAAACCATATTATCATCCAGCAAAGTCAACAACGGTAGACATTATCTATTAATCAAGCTCTGTTCTTTTCCTGTTAATAAATTACATCAAATTTTAGAGGAATGCAACACAATTCCATATTGCAGTCCTAAGTATGAAATCGTCCAAATTATAATTGCATATTGTTATTCTAAACTGTTTCCCAAAATTGATCGCCCTGAAGATCACAAAAAACATTTTATTAAAATTAAATATGTCAATAAAGGTTTTGATTTTGTAAATATTGCCGGTATTTTTAATGATTATTTTGTTAAAGAACAAATTCCTGGCTATGTTGATAATACTGAACTCCCTCTCATTTGTTATGTTTACAAAAAATCTACCCGGAAATA